CACCGGAAAGATGCGCGCTCGGATGCTCTTCCAGCGGGACTGTGGAATAATGGAATAATTTGGAGAGCCGTACTCCAGAAGCTCGAAGGCGGGAGAGACGGCTTTGGAGAGACGCACAGACGCAGAACGGCAGAACGGCTCTCCGGTGTTGTTGACTGACGCCGGACCCGACACCCAGAAATACGAGAACAACTGAGAGAGAGCAGACACAGAGCATCAGAGCAGGGCATTCTGGGAAACACAGGCGAAATAACTATTTAAAAAAATTACTTTATCATTTTTCACTTGTCCACCACCTTATTATACATATATCCAACTGTACCCATATACATATATGCACATAAAATTTTATTTCTCCCCCCCCTTATTATATATATATATATATATATATATATATATATATATATATATATATATATAAACAAATTTACCTGTATACACGTACACACATAAAAGAAAAAACAATTAATATAAAAATAATAAAATAAATAAAAACAATTGACAACATTAAAAATAACTGTATTTTTAAATATTACATTTTTCATTTGTCCACCACCTTATTATGTCCACGCACATAAAACCATAAATAATTCATATAAAAAATTTTTTTCAAAAAATTAATATTTTTTAAATTTGTATTTTGTCTACCTCCTTATATGTATATCCAACTTTACCTACGTGTATATATATATATATATACACACACACACACAGTGGGTACGGAAATTTCCGTACCCACTGTATGTATATATATATATATATATATATATGCACATAAAAGTTAAATAATGAATATAAAATTAATAATAAATATATAAAAATAAATAATTAATAAATAACTGAAACCAAAAATGAATTCATATAAAAATAAATAATAAAATGAAATAAATAAATAAAAATCAGTCCACCACCTGGGATGAAAATATACATTCCTGGGCTTGTCACAATGCATTCTGGGATTGTTTGGTCTATGTAGGATACTGCCTTAATAACATTTTGGTGTCGTGAAAAACCTAATTACTATCTGTCTTAAGAACTAGTTTGGCTAACTAGCAGTTAACCGAGTGGCTATCAGTCTTAATTTTCAGATTCAAATGAGATCAATCTAAGTTTTCATGTAAAAGTTAGGACCAGTCTTGAAGAAAAATGAGGCATCTAACTTTTAACGCTAGTCTAAGCAGTTTATGCAACCGGCCACAGCTCTCATAATCCTCAATATCATTACAAAAAGAACGACAGGAATTATATCAATATCAATCTTTAGCCATATACATTTGCCATTTTTACTAAAAGCAAATCTCATCTGGTTTATATGGACACTGAATGTAAACTATCCTATAGTTCAGCTCTAAACTGCTCGATTCATTTTAAACAGTAACTTTATGAATTGCTATAAAGCTGATTTGAAACAATGTTGTAAAAAGCAATAAACTTGGCTTGAAATAAAAGGTGGTGTTCTCTTTTGATGACACTAATTGAACATTTTAAGGCATATACACTACCGTGTTTGGGATCAGAATGATTTTTTATGTTTTTTACAGGAGTCTCTTCTGCTCGTCAAGGCTGCATTTATTGATTAGAAATACAGTAAAAACAGCTAAATATTATTAGAATCTAAAATAGCTGTTTTCTATGTGAATGTGTTAAACTGTACTGTATTTCTGTGATGCGCAGCTGTATTTTCAGCATCATTCCTCCAGTCTTCAGTGTCACATGATCTTCAGAAATCAGTGTAATATGCAGATTTATTATCAGTTGTGCTGCTTCATATGTTTTTGGAACCTTTACTTTTTTTAAGGATTCTTTGATGAATAAAAAGTTAAAAAGAAGTGCATTTATTTAAAATATAAATATTTTCTAACAATATACACTACCGTTCAAAAGTTTGTGGTTTGTAAATTTTTATTCTTTCTTTTTTTCAAGAAATTAAAACTTTTATTCAGCGAGGATGTGTTAAATCGTTAAGAAGTGATAGCAAAGATTTATATTGTTAGAAAAGATTCATATTTTGAATAAATGCTGTTCTTTTCAACTTTTTATTCATCAAAGAATCCTGAAAAAAGTATCAGTTTCCCAAAACAATATTTGGCAGCACAGCTGTTGATAATTCTGATAATAAATCAGCATATTATACTGATTTCTGAAGATCATGTGACACTTTATACTGGAGTAATGATGCTGAAAATACAGCTGCACATCACAGAAATAAATTAAAGTTTAATATATATTAATATAGAAAAACTTTATTTTACATCATAATAATATTTCACAATATTACGTTTTT